CAAAGGATTTCTACTTGTCTACACATTTTAGCTACCTCAACCCCAACAACAACCCAAGCAACACCGTGTACCTTGATGAAAGGTTAAGTCGTTAGGCAGTTGAAAATGCTGCCACTAAGTTCTGGAACATTCCAGAACAAAATCAAAATCTGGAACAAAATCAAAAGAAAACGCTTAGGGCTCAGCTTTGAGTCTTTAGTATCTCACTTCTAATATCTGCTATTACTCCTCTATTTTACTAGATACTAGGACATTAATAATATTTTCACATTTAAGACTCTTGATTTCCTATAGTTAATGTTTATTTATTTCAAGCAGTCTGAAATATGCATTACAAATAGCTTTATACTATTAAGTTTTGAGGAACTCTCAAAAGCTTGTGAACAACTTATTATTCTTGGTAAAGAAAAACTTCAAAGGATGAACAAAGTTCTCTACACACAATGACTAATAATTTCCTTACAGTTCTAGAAAGACTTAGTTGTATCACGGATAAAAGTAAATATGTTATGAAATAATGGCTAATTATGAGTCTCTGTGCCACAGATGGTTTCTCACTGTCACTTGAGCCTACATCAAGTCTGTCCCCCATGGCAACAAGAAAAAAAAGGTGGGGGAGGGTACAAGAATCCTGAGATTAATCATGGAAAGCAAATTGTAGCAATAACAACGTGGAGGTATTGTTTCTTTATTTAATGGACGAAAGGAAGGAAGAAATGGTAAAAATGTAAAACTGAACTGACAAGAAATTGAGGGATGTAGAAACAGAAATGCAAAAGATTGAAGAAAGAAAAGGAAATAAAACAAGAAGGCTCTTCCAAGGATCAGCATTTTCCTTCATCTCAAGAAGCAGTCCTTCAGATATGTAAAGGCAATTTGTTTGCAAGAGCAGAAAAAGAAGATCAGCATCAGAAATTTCAGATACAGGACAAAGAGCGCATAAATACACAGTTTCTGATTTCATTGGGGGTTCTCGGTGCTACAGCAATCATTTTTCTTAGCTGTCTATCCGTGGTTTTCAACCCAGGCTACATGTTAGAATCAGCTGGAGACCTTTAGAGAATATTCGTGAACAGAACCACCCCCCCTCAGATGTTTTGATATTACTGGATTGGGTTTAGCACAGAGAATGGAATGTTTTTAAAGATCCCCAGGTGATTCGAATAGGTAACTAAGGTTGTGAACCACCGTCTGACTAGGGGTCAAAACACTGTTTTTGGTAAAAGACGAGACAGTGAGTAATTCAGGCTTTGTGGCCCACAGTGGCTCTTGTTCAACTATTCAACTCTGCTGTTATATGGCAAAGGCAGTCAGACTTTTAAACGGGTGTGACTGTGTTCCAGTAAAACTTTATTTACAGAAGTGGGTGCTAGGCTGGATTTGGCCCGGGGACCAAAGTTTATCCACCGCTGGTCATCAGACTGCTTCCTCTCCCCTTTCCTAAAACAGCTGTTACAAACCTTCACCTTGGCCATCCCTATGCCTTCGATATTCTGCTTCAGTGGGAAAATACAAGTCATCTGGCTGGAAATTCTTCAACTTCCTCGTCCATCACCTGCAGACTCAGTACACTACATCTGCATCTGGCCTCATCTCTTTGTCTCATATTGTAGAAGCAGCACCCCTTCTTTTCAAGGGGGATCTGACCTTCTCCCTTACACTCAGCTCCATCACTCTCTGTGACTCCTTTGGAGCCCCCAAGTGTCTTAACCAAAGAACCCGCACAGCCTCCTTCAATCCTGTGTCCTCCTCCAAATACTCAGTGACGTCTCCCCTTCCTTAGAAATGCTACACCCACTGCCTCTACGTCCTCCCTTCCCATTCACTCCTCGAGCCACTACCACTGCCAAGCTTGTTGAAGCCCTTCAAATGGTGTATTCCTGGTTCTTGTTTTAACTTGTTTTCTCTGAAGCATCTGACATTGTTGACTCTTCAGAAAACTTTCTCCCCACTTAGTTTTTGCAACACTGCGACATCTGCCACAACTGCTTTCTCTGCCGACTGCTTCCATGCTAGCACTGCCGAGTATTACTTGGCAGACTCTCTTTTCTTCTGCTCTTCTTCTTCTTCTCAACTATTGCCGGGGCATCGACCACCACCTACACGCGATAGCCCCCACATTTCATCTCTAGCTCACGTCTCTTCCTCAAGCTCTAGGTTCACATTGTCAAATATCTACGGCAAGCTATACTTTTATCCCAAATCTGTTCTTTTTCCTTTATTCTCCATCTTGGTTAACAGCTTCACCATCAACCGAACTACCAAATGGAAAATTCTCACTCTCCTTCTCGGCCCTTAATAACCACTATTGTGCAAATTTTAAAATACGTCTACCCGAAGATACTTATTTCTATCTGTGCAGTGAATGGCAACTATACATGTTCAGTCATACGTGGTGGTCCTGCTTTCCGTCCAAATCCAATCAGCCAACAAATCCTCATGATTCTACTTCTAAAATACTTTGTGAATCTATCTCCTTTTAGCCACTGCTGCAGCAACTGTTTTAAGGCAGACCTGAGTCATCCTTTACTCAGATTTTCAATAACTTTCTAATAGATTTTTCACTTGCCCACATCAGTAGCTTCTACTTCCTTTTCTTATTTTTGCTTCCTCCTTCAGTGACTGTCCAATCTTACTTTCTCTTTGCTAACAAAACTGCATACAGGCTTCTAGCAGTAGAAGTGCCAAGATTTTACATAGGGGAGGAGGGAGCCTTTCTCTTTGGTTATCCTCTCTTCTTGATGAGGCAAGATACTTCATTTCGGTTTTTGGTCTTGCATTGCTGAAATCACAGACAATATTCTAAGAGAATCTGGGCAATAAATACACTTTAAATAAGATGGTAATAAAACGGAGCACCCATTGAGGATGGCGACCCATGTGGTGAAGGGACTCCAAACCACAATCTATAAGAAGTAACAGGAAGAAGTGGAAAACTGATCCTGCCGAAGATTCAGATTTTTCCCTGCAGCAGGCTAATCTGGGTATTTTTCTCCCTATATGAACTCCAGGATTATTAATCAGACACCTTTCATCCTTAACAAAAGCGCAGTTTCTTTTCCTTCATAGGAAATACTTAAGGTTTCCTTTCCTTAAAAAGTGATCTACATTTTGCTCTATGTTGGCCTGCCCACTGAGGAGAGGAAGCCTATGAAACCACAATGCTGCCCTTCCCCTCGGAAGCCTTCCTTAGAAACGAGCTCACATCGATATTTACCATTTGCTAGAATGATGGTCAACCTGAATGGTAGGCTATGACTCTTTGACATCGGATCCCTAAGCGTAATGCTGAACGACCTAACTCTCGAGTGGGAGCACGTGACACATTGCCTGACTTACATGACAGTTTCTCATTCTAACTTAAATATTGTTTCCAAACTCTTTTTAAAAACTGTATTGTTGCAAGAGTTTTTTAAAAAAAAATCAGCCCTTTCTCATCAGTGCATCGCAATGGTTGACCACAACTCAGGGAAATTCTGGATGCTTTACCAGTAAGTATTTCCTACGCCACCTTCTCTAAAGTATGCCCAGTATATTGCATTTCCTTCCCATGCCTGCATAGCAGTTGCAGAAAGCAGTCATTTATTTTATGAAAAACCCACCTTTGCATCTGGTCCTGTTGAGGTAGTCTGCTGATCTAAATGAGGTTAATTAAAATCCTTCATTGTTAAATTATCTTACCTTAGTGCACAATCTGAAAGACAAATCTCCCTTCGTATCATTTATAATCATAGCAATGTATCAATAAGGTGACAGATCTCATGAAGTTCGCAATAAACTCAAATCATTCATTTGTAAAAAGAATAAAACCCCTGCATTTATTAAACAACAAGACAGTTGAGATGGCCTCATAGGAATGCTGATAGTGACCAGGGTTTGAAAACTATGCTGATCATCTTTTACTGTGAAATATGAAATAGACTACCCGGTTTACCAAATGAACAGGCCTTCACCTTGGCCTCTGAAACACAGGGTTATGACATGGCTTCACCATGTCTACCAAGAGTCTTTCTGCACAACTGGCTTTGAAATCAGTTCAAGGAACAGGCAAGAGGAAGAGTGTTTAATGGTAACCACTTTTTCAATTTGAGGACTAGACTTCTCTGGCCACGGTAAGAGCCTACTTCAAGGCTACCTAGAAGGAAGTTTGACAAGCAATTTTCTCCATTTTTAACATCTAACCCTTTTCTTAGAATACATGAAATTCAAAGCAAAGATTAAAAAATACTACATATATTAAGGGGTCTCCTGTAGTCTGTAACTAGATCTACTGATAAGAATAAAGTCCTAACCTTGGTACTGTCCCATTTCTGCCTATGTTTAAATGTTAAAAAAATTTTTTTTTAAGCTTAAGTGGCCCCATGCTCTGAACTGAACTGTTGTCTACATTGTTGATAAGTTTCTTGGGAAAAGTCCATTTTTTACCTCTGTTCATTACGAAATTTAAGAAAAAAGGCAAGCAGGAAATTATAAATAAGGAGAGGTTGAACTGTGCTTGATAGAAAAACAGTATTTAGAGACAGCAAACGTGACTTAATTGAACTGAAGATAACAAAGAGAAACACTTTTCAAACTCTTTATGTCCTAGAGTTGATCTGAAGAAGAGGGCTCATCAATTTCTTTAGGAGTAAACCGGGCTAAATACATGTTGAACTGAGTTTTACAAACGGCTCTGTTTTCCCCAGCTGCAAAGCAAGACAGCAAGAGAGACCATTGTACCACATGCTACGTAAAATAACAGCCCAAATGCCAATGTATGCAAACATGTTTAGCGAATCTTTGCTTTTTATACCAAAAAATGCTATAGCTTCAAATGATTAATTCGTAATAGATATAATTTCCACTGGAAATTAATTTGTCCTTTCGAATGAGATACTTCCATCCAGAACCCTCTTCCTCGAATCACAGAAATCTGCAGTGATGACACATATGCAAGCACATTTCACTTCATACCAGATGAAAACAGAATAATCAGAACACGAACACAGTGAGAGGCTTACCGAGGTGTACAGGTATCCCTCGCTGTTCATGGCCAAATACAGCTTGGTTTGAACTCCCTGAATAGCCACCACTCGAAGACCCACAGGGATGAGGTTAAACAGAGCTGAAACCCAAAGGAATGAGAAAACAGCGTTATAATTCTGAATTCCACCGCTTTTCAATGTTTCCAGCAGGACTGTCTGGTCTTCCAAAAGTAATGTGTACCTGGTAAGGCTATTCATAAATATATTTTTATATTTATACACCTACAGTTAGGGCCTCTTCTACCTTTCGGTATTCTTGATTCACGGTTGCAGTTGCATAATGGGGGGTATAACTACATATTTTCAAACACCCTGGAGAAAATTGAAGATAATTTCACGGTTTGTATAGCGTTGGAGGTAGGGACTCTTTTTTGGGGGGGAAGGTAATCAGGTTTACTTACTTTTATTTATTTTTAACGGAGGTACTGGGGATTGAAGCCAGGACCTCGTGCATGCTAAGCACATGATCTACCACTGAGCTATCCCTCCGCAGGAGGTGGGGACTTCTGACACTTCTGGAGACATCCAGATCCAGGAATTGGTCTATATATTAAATAGCTTTATCTTCCACAAACCAAGGTCTTCAACTGCTCCCTGAGACAAGTGCTGAAATTCACAGACACAGTTTCATGATCTACCAGTTGGGGAGAGATTCCTAGAATCTTAGAAAAGACACTAGTCTAACTCCCTCACCTAAATGATCTGTATTATTTCCAATGCAACAACCAAAAAAGAAATTCAGGCCCTGAAAAGAAAAAAAGTCATTCTGTAGTCTTATGTTTCCAGAGTAGTTATTTCTTAAAGAACATTTTCTAAGTTGGGGTTGAGAGGGGTCTTAGCTTTGCATTTCCAGGAGCAAAGGTTATAGGAATAAAAACAATGAACTGGAGAGGTTTATTTATTTATTTTAATTGTTTTTCCTAAATAGTTGTAAGTGGGCAGCTGGCCGATGCCAAAGAAGCCTTCATTTCTCCATTTGAAGGTTTGACTGCGTGAAACTTACACCCAGGCTCTCCTCACAATCACACACCACTCACTGGAGAAAAACAGTGGGCGGCCTCCCCCTACCAGCTGTCTCCTCCCTCCTACACCCTGAATAAAAATAAAACAGAACATTTTTAAAACGTAGTGCTTGCCACACACATCTTTTGAAAATAGCCTGTGCACCTTTCTCTCCAGAGTCCTAGACCAATGTTGACGATTTTTGCCTCGGTGTGTAAGTGTATTGAGGATGATAAATCGGTCTGCTATCATTTCTATGAACAAGACTATAAAGGAGTCACCCCACGGGGAAGAATAGGTTTTCTCAGATCTCTTATCTTGGTGCACATATATTCTGCTACAGTAGGTGGAGTTATATAGGTGAGAAATATTAGTGAAGAACTTGGTATTCCTTGGTGAGCCTACAATGTATCTTTCCTTTAAAGTCAGGGTGTTACCAAAGAGGAGCTAGGACATACTGTACAGTTCAAAATGCAAGTGTTCCTACCACATGTCACCGATGGCACTTCATTCAATACTCATGATATTAAAAGCTGTGCCCTTCTGTTATGTGAGGTGAAGGAACGTAATTGCAGATTGCAAGCCAGGATCTCATGCTCTATTTGACAATGCAATGCACAGGAACGAAGTCTGATCTCTGTGAGCATGTCATGTACATGTTATATCTCTTTCGATTGATGCTACCTTGCTCATAGCAGGTGCTTGACACACATTTGTGGATTGATAGCAATCTGTATGGTGAAAACATGACAGTATTACATTTTGGGAATGTAATAGGTCATAATCCCGTTATATGAAAGCTCATAGCTTTAAAATTCTGCTATCTAAAAAAACAAATGAAACCAAACAAAAACCTCCATATGGGTTTGGCTTAAAAGCCGTATCACTAGACAACTAGAATGCCAGCGTATGTCTGAAGCCTAGTTTAGTCATTCTAATAGATGATAATAGATGATAAATAATAAAGGAAATTCAGAGCTGTTTCTAGAACTTCTTTTTTTTTTTTACAATATTCTGAACCTTCTTAGTTCTCTGAATGCAGCTTGTAACAAGAAAAAGAGAGATGTTTGATTTTCACCGTGTGCCCCAACCACTCTCTGATGTGAGTTTTAATGAACAATAAAATGCTTAAATCCCAAACATCAGATAGCAGGAGGAGGAAGAGAAGCAAAGCACATCAGTAATCCACGCCTGGGATTAGCTACTCCGGAAGAATGGTATTCCCTATCTAGTAGAACATGAATTTTCACTATGTATCACAAATTTCTATGAAATCTGATTCAAAAACAAAAAATACCACTCTAAAATAAAAAATTAAAGAGAGCAGCAAAAAAAAAAAAGAGTGACTAGTCATAGTTCAATCTTTTTTCTTTAGACATTTAAGATAGATCAGAAACAGGATTTATTTAAAGTCTGTCTAAAGGGACGGATAAAAATGCAAAGAAATTATATCAAGGGTGAGCTTGCACAGAAACAGTTTCCAATATGCCTTTGTTTCTCCAAATCTGGAGTACTTTTTCATGGACTTAAGATATTATTTTGATTAGGATGAAAATATGCTAAATAGGAGAAGAAAACATTGGATTTTATTTGTGTGTCTAAAACACGTGCATTAAATACCTAATATCTTTTCTTTTATTTCTGTCAAACTTTTGAAGATTTTTATAAACAGGGCCTTTGTTTCTTGTTTGTTTTCTGTTGTGTCTACATAAAAACAAATCCATTCTACCTTGAAGGGATCAGCTTCTCAGAGGTGTGCTCATAGTTGGCACTCAATGTTTGCTGAATATGAAACTGAGGCCATCCTTCTTTATAAGCTGGATTAAGATCAATTTCTCAAAGGGGGTAATTCATAAAAGTATATACTAATCAGAAAGACCTGACCTGCTGAACTCTTAACACTACTGAAGGTTTAAAGGAAAATTTGCCTATTCTTTTAAAATAGCCCTCATGGAACCCAAGGCAGATACAATAAAACTACGGCCATGAAATGTCTATCCTCTTTTCCTTTTCAGGGAGAAATACATAACTTACTATGGCCGATTTGCTCATGATGAGACTTTATTGGACTGACATTTACCATTGTAATGAATCAACCTAAGGTCAGCCTAGATGCATAATATCAAACATATGTTTTTAGAAATTGAAGTATCTGGGTAAATGTGAACTGCTTTGTTTTATCATGATCTTGCTTACCTCATCAGAATCAAAATATCATAAAATCAGCCAAATTGGACTGAATGAGAAAAGCATGATGAAAAATCCTAACAATTAATAAAAATAAGAAAAAATATAAACATAATAACAGGAATCATATTAAGGAAATACTATATACATGAAAGGGTGAGAGTTGGAAAAAAAACAACAACCGGTATTCTTGTTCCACTCAGTTAAAATAATTAAATAATGAATGCCAAGAAAATTGCTTGGCTTTAGGGGGAACAAAAAAGAATACGTTTGCATGAGTAGACTTCCATTTTAATGATCATTTTAATGATCACTTTAACCATTAAACAGTCTTGTTTCATGATGACTTATGCCCTACAATATACTCAGTTGGGAAGAAAAGCTAGCTCTGGTCAGACTTGGCAGCAGGGGTAGAGTCAAGCCACACAGACTCGTTATTTCTTTTGAGATACTCTTCATTTGTCTGTTTCACGCAATGGTAATACTCACCACCGGCTGACTCACCTCTCATTATTTCGCTCTGCCTAAACACAGATTCTGGTTATCAGACACTTTAATGGTCTCACAGTATCATTAGCATACAGAAATGCCCTGTCTATCAGTCAGTTATAAGACAATCAAAGGCAGAAGCTATGCATATGTAGGAACTGAAAAGTAAAACCTACGTGACCCCATAGTTAAAAAACGGAGTCTTGATTTACACGCATATATGTGTGTGTATCTGTGTCTGGGTGTGTGTAATACCCTAAAATGACTACCTACAGGGTGATCTTGATGAGTGTGGCATATCGTTATTGATAAGGCACAGCAAATGAATCATCTGATATATATTTTTTTTCCTTTTCAGGAAACGCATGTGAACATTGGACCCAAAATAATCTTTTCACTGATTTCCATCTGGAGAAGATGTTAAAAGTAGAAGGAGGGAAACCTGGTTGGGTGGGGCTCATTAGCAGCTAATCATGATGTCTTTTCATTAATTCCCAACGAATCTATTTCTCTAAGGCACTTTGAAAAACGGAGCAGCTTACATCCCCTAACTTCCTTCCCAAACACCAATTTGAACATACCATTTATGGGAATGTTTTATTACTGATCATCATGTACTAATGTCTGTTAGAGGTGTACAATAAAACCCTCTAGCTACACTTGACTAATCTTTTCAAATAGAAGAGTATCATGAAAGAACATCTAGAACTTAACAATTAGAACTTTAATATCACAACAGTCACATAACATTTTGCAAAACAGCGAAGAACCTTCAAACCATTTAAGTATGGAAGTTTTTCATCCTAGGTAGCACAGAGCTTTCTTCAAAGGTAATTAAAGGTGACTTCCCCTTGAGGTCTCGCCTTGGCCATGCACCAGCCCAGGAAGCCTTATTAAAAGGTGTGAAACTCTTTAACACTCAACATTGGAACCCTTGTCTATGGCTTCCGCGCCTCTAGCCAGCATCTCTGAAAATGCCACAGAGGACTTGATAGCATTCAGATGGGCTTTCCTTGACAATGGAACTGCTTCTGGGGAACTATCAAAGTCTGAGGGAAGTGCAATATACATTAGAGAAAATAGGGAGTGAATTGTGAGAACTAGGTGTTTTAGCCTCATGAAACATTTAATAGATCTGTAGAAAGCTGCTAATTGCAAACAAAACAAAAACAAAACATCAGTTATCATTATTGAAGAGGGCTTCACTATTTGTGAGTTTTTGTTGCTCCAAATAAATAAAGCATGTATCACAAAAGTTTATATAATATCTTAGAATCACTGTACTTCAGTAATTAGAAATCATATTGACTTTATTTTTGATGTGTTTCTTTTTTAGATTCACCATTATGGTCTCCAATTTGGTCTTTACTTAAACCATGGTTAAAAATAAAGCACTAAAAAAAAAACTTCTTTACCCACCTGTGGAGGTATCTCAATGTTAAAATCCCAATTAGTCTCAGAGTTATCAGTGTGTGTGGAGAGGGGGGACGTGAAATCTTGTTATGATGAATTCTCATGACATGAAACCACTCCTCTCTCTTGGGATGAGACCGGTTCTTAAGAGTAGAGATAACATGCTATTTCAGGATCAGTGTGTGGGTGAGTAAATTTTCTGCGAGGGAAAAAAGTAATAAAATCCAAAGGACAGCTATAAATCTATCCAGATTACCATGGAGATGACATTTGGATTGTTCTTCAGATGGTGTCAACATTATTTGCTACAGTTCACTATTTTAGATTATTTTCATGTTCCACTTCCCTTAGGTTATTAACCTGCTTAAACACGATTGTCTGGTGTTGACTATATTTTGGATTCACTTCAGAATTTAAGCAAGGGGTGTTTATCTTAAAAAATTAAGAAAGAAAACACAGTGTCAACAACATGCTGGGATATGCTATTTATTCTGCGGTCACTTACTGTAAGTGCTGTCCTCATCTTTCGTGCCATCGATGGTTCCATCTGCCTGCAGCTGCAAGTGGTAGCCTTGTCTGCTGTATAGTTTAGTAACTATACCCTTCAGCTGAGGCTCTGCAAAGAGAACGATGGTTTGGATCAATTGATAAGTTGGGCATATACATTTGAAAAGAGTCAGAATTCAAACTTCTAATTTCATTTACAAATTTTAGTGGGAAGGCTCAAACTTCACTTTTAAAGAGTCCTCTGAAAGAAAGAAAATGAACAAACTCCAAGTTTCACAAGAAATCTCCAAACTGAAGAAACATTTGATTTCCACCCGGTAACACCGGTAAAGCCTAAAGCTTCTGACAGCAGAGACAGTCTCTGATAGGGTGTCCTTTGGCTTACAGTGGCACACTCATTGAACATTCAGAATGCGTTGGCAAATGGCACATTCTGCCTTTTAACAATGTGCCACTTGTCATGTGGAAGGAAAAGGAGAAATACAAAGATAATTTTGAGTGGTTTGCCAAGCAGGGACCAAAAACACACTAGCAAAGAATTCCCTCAGAATTACCGCAATTTGAATAAAAAATCTGCTCCATTCCAAGAAGGTTGAAAATGCATAAATAACCTGGACGCCCATCAAAGGACTTATATTTAGAAATGCGAGCTGTGATTTTTAAAAAAAGGGAGGGGGAGGAGAGACTAAAACAACCATTACCATCCCCTATCATATTAATTATCCTTAGAGGAAACAGGTGCAAAGAGCAGGGATTTTGTTGGTGGGGAGGAAAGAAAATTAGTCCATTCTTCTTTTCAATTTAGTGTCAGAAATATAATTATCCAAAATACGTGTTCCCATGCTCTCTTCAGCAGCACATACACAAAATACGTGTTCTCAAAATGATTTTCAACTATGAATCACCATAGATTAATCAAGTACCTCATTTACCAATAAGAGCCATGTTATCCAAAATCTGCTTTTATTGAATACAGACACCTGCACTGAAATAATATTTATGTGATGATTCTGGCCACATAATCGTACTTTGCCACCGCTTAAACCTTTTTAAAAACAAGCCTAATTTACAGCTAACACCTTAAAAACTTCGAGCACACAGAAAATGTATGGCTGCATTTCCATTCCAGGGTGTGTAGAACACATAAATAGAGAAATAACAGATTGGTGAATAGTCTGAAATTCTGTAATATGTATCTAGTTAAAAGTAAGGGAATAGAGTCAGGATTCATTTGGTTAAGAATGGCCAAACAAGCTGCCGGTTCGCCTGAAGGTCTACCTTGACGCAACCTGACACCTAGAGCCTTGTGAATTTCCCCTGGCACTGGAATATCGCGCTACTCTTCTCACTGAACGGGTTCAAAAGGACCCACAATCTGGCTCAGAGTTTAAATTCTCTCTTCACTCCTGCGTTTTGGTAGCAAGTAACCACAGTTTTACTAGTCTAACCAGATCACTAAGCTCTCGGCCACAAGGTTCTGGAAATCCACCCCCTCCTCTCCAGCAAATATTTCAAACCGGCACCACAAGTCCGTCCCGATAAGCTTCAAAGTGATCAAAGAAACAGAATGCCTGGATAGCGGAAACCCACGGCCCTCGAGGGTGTAAGCTGGAGGGGAAGGGTCGGAGTTGCAGGGATAAATGCAAAGGAGGGATTCCCGGGTTCTCCCGGGGTGGGGAGTGGGCGGGGGGGGGGTCTGCCCAGCTCCGCGCCTGCATTTTCCACGCCACACACACGCTAGCCATGTCTGGGTCACGCCGGCCCAGAGCCCACGGGCACGCACACATGTGGTCTGTCTGAAGCTGACGGCGCGCCCCCCCGGGCAGGGTATGCCCCCAGGCTCTGCGCCTGTCCCACGGCAGTTGCAATGCAGCAAGCCTGGTACTGCCACGAAGGAGGCGAAAAAGCGATCGCTTTCCACGCACGCACACCGGCTAGGTGGCCACATCCGCACTAGGTGGGCCACCGACAAACTCACCTCCGCTTCCATCCACGCCCTCAGCCCCCTCCACACTCGGAAAGTATGACAAAAAAAGGAAAAAGAGCCAGCCAAGAGCCCCTGCCAACCTGGTCTCCTTCTGCGCCTCTTCTTGGAGCCGAATAGTTTGACCCGGGAAAAGACGTTTAACTTGTTTTTGTCGCAGCTGGTCTTGCCTTTGCTGGGGCTGCTGACACACTTGCAGGCGTTCGATTTCTCGCGCTCGCGGGCTTGTCGCTTCTGCCGGATGAGCGAGCTGGCGATAGCCGCCGCCATGGCCACGACGCCCACCACCACCGCTTCTTTCGCGGCCCCTCGCCGGGTTTCGCC